CTTTATAGCCTCAAACCGTCATTTTATGATTCTTGATATATATATATATATATATATATATATATATATATATATATATATATATATATATATATGTCCTGGTTGAAAAGAAACTTGGGTTACAAGTTTATATGTTATACCCCACATTTCATGATGGAGACTAGATAAAAATTCTAACCTCTCAGCCACAGCAGATATCTTAAAAAGTTTTTGTACTTAGGTTTCGCTTAGTTTGTGCCACGTCACCTCAAACGAACTCGCTGAAGTAAACATGTCGTTGTGTCAGTTATTCTCAAAAAGTGCATCTATGCTTACGGCTTTCAAAACATGACAACTGTACAATCAGTGAAAGATATGACTTTCTCATCTTTTAACAAAAGATGTTTTCGGACTGTCGTGTTTAGCGAAAGATAAAGCAAAAATACAAATTGTAATGCATTTTATTATAATCTATCTGAGAATTATTGACGAAAAATAGGTGCGAGAAAACTCACTTGTCTTAAATATCTGGCATAAGCATAATACCATATATATATATATATATATATATATATATATATATATATATATATATATATATATATATATATATATATATATATATATATATATATATATATATATATATATATATATATATATATATATATATATATATATATATATATATATATATATATATATATATATATAAATTTTCCCCAAAATACTAGGATCAAACATTACATATAAATGTAATATGTGTGTGTGTGTATCTGTGTATCCATATATATATATATATATATATATATATATATATATATATATATATATATATATATATATATATATATATATGTATTTAGATCGATCTAACTATAGACAGATATATCTATGTGCACACACACACGCAGAGGGCGACGGGGAGAGGGAGAGAGTGAGAGAGAGAGAGAGAGATAGGGGGTATGGCCTGTATAGTAAAATATGCTCGTCCCATTGAAGTAGTATTCAAAAAAAACTTTTGATTTTTCTTTGGTCATATGTACACACCTACATATTATCATATGACATGTATATTTATCTATATATGTCTATCTATCGATCCATATATATATATATATATATATATATATATATATATTTATATATGCTTAGATAGATATGTATTAGATATAGTGCTGATCATATCAGAACGTAAAATGAAATTATCGTATTAAATTTTCACTATTAAAAATAACTTTCAGATCCCTAATTTTTTACTTTCAAACTAGGCGAAAGCAAACCATTATCCCGTAACTACCTACACGCTTTCCAATGATATCCCGAATGAAATTGGTAATATTCATTGTTGACCTAATTTCTTTTCTTGTATTAATGAATTATACTTTCCTTTTCACTTTCTCCCTCACGATAAATGTGTGTCAACCCCCTGAAAATTACTCTGAAAACACATATATTTCGTCGACTTCTTCTTCTTTTTCTTCTTCTTCTTCTTCTTCTTCTTCTTCTTCTTCTTATTATTATTATTATTATTATTATTATTATATTAGTTATCGATTTACCAATCATATATTTCTACTATATTTCTGTTTATGCGCGATTCTCAACAGATAATAGACTTTTGCGCTAAATGTGAATAGCACATACATATACGCATGCATCTATACAGCTATATACATACATACATTGTGTATATATATATATATATATATATATATATATATATATATACACACATACATATATATTTATATATACATACATATATATATATATATATATACATACATACATACAAATATATATATATATATATATTAAATAATTTAGGCAAAGCAATATCAACAATAAAATGTGTATAATATATTTATTTTATATATATTCTATATGACAATATTATTTATTAATTATATATATTATATTAAAAAATTTAAATTTACATAAATAAATAATCTCATATATATATATATATATATATATATATATATATATATATATGGATACTCATACACACACATATATTACATTTACCTGTAATGTTTGAACCTCGTATATTGGGGAAAAATTTTATATATATATTTTTTGGGAAAAAGTATATATATATATATATATATATATATATATATATATATATATATATATATAATGATATATAGCACAATTTTAATTTATTTGTGACAAACAGTTATTTCTGATGAAAAATTGAGAACAATTTGAAATATCAAATATATATATAAATAAATAAATACTTTCATAAAATAAAACATTATAATTCTCAATTTGAAACTTTTTATATATATATATATATATATATATATATATATATTTATAACATTATTAATGTATAATTTTATATATCGATTTTAATACTATATATATAATTCAAAAATATACTTACAGATAGACAGATAGATAGATAGACAGATAGATAGATCGATAGATTGATAGATATGTATTGTATGTAGTGCTGAACGTATCGGTACGTCAAAGGAAATACGACTTTAAGTTTTCGTTCAAGCATGAGACAAACTATTGTTCCCGTCTTATATTTTAAAGCCATCTGCCACTGATATTAAGTACTTTTATCGTTAAATATAGCAGATATGAAAATGTTTTTATCATATACACAACTGCCGTACCCTCCGCCCTTAAATATAACTTCATTTTATATATATATATATATATATATATATATATATATATATATATATATATATATATGTTTATACATTATCATGGTATGAATTTCATATAAATATATAGAAATTATCCATTACCATGTAAATCCCACATAGACAAATTAGAATTATTATACACTTTCATACATAATGCAATATGTATGGTTTTCCAATTAGTGTTGGACTCCATTAATTTCTTGGAACTTCGAATGAACGCGTCATTTCCCCTTGCATGAAAAACTCCATGAGTTTTACTCACATTTGTTTAACAAAACGGATGCAAGTGAAAACATGATAAACCAATTAAAATCGAACAACACGAAAATTAAAATATACTAGAATTTCTTTCTTTTTCTCCATATCTCATTCTCTGCTGAAGCTTTAATAATGTGAAAATGTTAGATTAATAAACATTTCCTATTTGTTCTTTATGTTTCCCCATATATATATATGTATTTTGTATCTCCTTGAGGCATGGACTTCCAGGAATCCCTTCAATTAATCTACTGGAATCTTTTCCAACCAATCCTAGGACTCCAACTACAACAGGGATTATGGATGTTCCCATTTAACACATTTTATTATTATTATTATTATTATTATTATTATTATATATGGGGTGTACTGTTACATTTATTGCGATTTGTGCAAATAATAAAAGATATTATTTTTCCTAACAAATAAATATTTCACCATATCTCCTTAAATGCACAGCTAGAAATTATATCATATTTATTAAAATTAACTTCTTAAACCATTTTGTACATACTGTATATTTCTAAACTTTGTATTTGCTTTTATTTTTCATACTTTTTCTGAACACATTTTACTGCCAAAAAGTTCAAATTTGGATTCGTCTGTCTAAAATACATTTTGGTAAATCTATATAATAAATGCGAATGCCAGTGTCTCATTGTGTCACACTTTTTATTTTTACTCCTGGAGGCCATAGCTCAATATATTATATAATTTTGGAATCTGGCCAATTCCCTGAGCAAATTAAAAACATTCTGGAGAGATTCCGGACTGGATCCGGACCTGCAATCTTGAAATTTTCGATTCCCAAATTTTCTTTACTGCGATTGGTTTCAGATTCCGCCATTTTGGATTCTAATTATAAAGTTATTTAAAAGGACACAACTCTCTAATTTTCAGTAGTTCCTGTTCAAATGAAAAGTTACTGTTCTCAAATTAATGTTTCAAAATAAAATTGTCCGTGTTTTCATCTGTATTCCTAGAGGCCATAGCCCAATATATACCATTTTGGAATCAGGCCGACCCCGAGAGCAAAGTAAAAACATCCCGGACTGGATGCAGACCCGCAATCCTGAAATTTTAGATTCCCAAGTTTTCATTACTGTGATTTTTTTCGGCGATTTTTTACTTGATTTTTGCGACGAATTTTTTTGATCGATATCAATTTTTATAACTTAATAATAAATTTCGAAATTAATTGCGAAATCCAGTGAAAGTCACACTTGAAATAAAAAAAATAATTGTTTGCAAGGAAAGTAAGGACCTACGTACACCAAATTGTTGTTAAATTAAGTGGCAGCAGAAGAATTATCATTAAACTTTTAAAAGGTAAGTTTAAATATTAAGGCAATACTTAATTGCCGCCATCAATTTTGAGTTCTTCTGTAGCTTATTGTTGCCTATCGCATCTACTGCTTCATACTTATTGTAATGAAGGCCTAATCAAGAGTCCTCCACAGGAGTTAGCTTAAATGCCGCCCGATAGGCCGGCTTTTAAGCTAGTTACGAATATTTTTTTATGAGAAACGTATTTTGTTTTCACCATTAACCTCTAAGTGGGCCTTTTGAGATTACCAAAATTATCAGCTAAGTTAAATATTAATTAAGGTTCTAAATTTTAATTCAGACTAATGTTGTAAATAAATCATATGTAGCTGTCTTTGTTTGATAAAAAAAGACTGTACTATTACGATAGTGTTTTCATAGATTATTTACTTGTTTTTATTTGAAATAATTCGCACAAAATCAAAGCAGCCCTACATTGAGGTGAGGGTACAAATTGACATGTTATTCAAAGAAGGCTTCTCTCAAAGACAAATTACCAAGAAGTTGAAGGTTTCTAGACATGGGGTGTGATATTCGTTAGAAAGGCAGTTAGAAACACCTGCAAATGTCGACAGAAAAAGAGTTGGAGTAACAATTGCTGCCGAAGATAAACATTTGATTATTGAAAGCAAAAGAAATACAAATAAATCTGCTCTAGAGTTGACAACTGAACTTAATTTCTCCCGACAGCAACCATGAAAAATCAACTTATACCAGATGGGTTCAAATGTGGGGAGGTGCATACAGAAACCCCTGTTACAATAGGCGAGTAAGCAGAAAAGACAGTTATGGGTATCGGAACTGGACATTGAAAGAGTGAAAAAAACGTATTGTGGACAGAGTCCCAGTTTTAATATTTTTGGTTGTAAGAAAAGAGTGTATGTGAAAAGAAAACCAGGAGAAAAATTGAATGATGAATATGTGGGTCCAACAGTTAGGCATGGGGGTGGGTATGTTATAGTATGGGGTGTTTTGTGGGTTAAAGGGTTTAAAAGTTGATTCAAGTCAAGTGATTCATGAAAACAGAACAATATCTTTCTATGTTGCAACGTCATTCTATAATATCTGATTTACATATAATTGGATAAAATCACATTGCAACAAGCAACGATCCCAAGCACTCTTCTAAATTATGTCAAAATTACCTCGAGTCAAAACAAACGGACAAAATTTTTAAATTATGACTTGGCCGACTCCATCTGCTGTCCTCACTTCCAATGAATTAGTATGTGATGATTTGGATAGGAGAGTTCGACGAGAATACTCAAAGAGTGAGAGTGAGCTTTTTCAGTGTTTGATGAATGCTTGGAGACGTCTGCTATCTACATTGTTTTCACAAATTGTTGGAAAGAATGCCAAGTATTTGTAAATTAGCAATTAAGATAGGTGATGGTTTCATTGACGAAAACAATAAAATTGATATTTTCAGACACACACATTCGGTCGACGGAAAGGCACTCGCTAAAAATATATGATATATATATATATATATATATATATATATATATATATATATATATATATATATATAAAGGCTCACACACTAATATTCCATGGTTAAATTTATCACATTGGAATAGTAATCGCGATCAATTCATCAGACCTCCAAATTATATTTTTTATTTTATATTATGTTCTTGCTCTGTCTTGTAAATTGACTTCTATATGAATTTTATCCTCTTGGAAATATATATATATATATATATATATATATATATATATATATATATATATATATATATATATATATATCATTGATGCATGTTTCATTGAATAATATAGACAAATTTTGTCTATTTATTTTGAGTAAGTTCCTTTCATATTGTCTAATAAGTTCAATAACATTATCATTGAAAGATGAAAGAAAAACACTACATTGATACACGTTTAAAGCCTATCAAAGATTTCGGCTTACATAAGCCATTATCAAAGATGACAATTACATTTTAATATATTAAACAATACACGGACAAAACAATAATGATAGCCTGTTTTTGTTGCATGAAAAATTTTCAAAGCAACAACAATCTCGTGTATATGAGACGCGGATGCGAAAATCGCATCGCTACTCGTGACATCAACATTTGACCACGCGAGAGTGAAAACCAGAAGTATTAAGTATGGGATGCCGACGGTGTGTATATATATATATATATATATATATATATATATATATATATATATATATATATATAAGTGTCATACGTGAAAATTTAATTTAAGTAGGCAAGAGTCAATTGGTTTATATACTACTTATACTAATAACCATCACTTCCTGTTATCACCTATTACATTTATATCATGCACCTTATTTAGTACATCTCTACCAGGGGTGATTCTTTTGTTATGCCATACGAGGAATTAACGTCATCCCTTCAGATATAGAGCGAGATTTTTCCTGGGGAAGAGGTAACACTTAAGTGTTGTATACAAAGGACAAAGACCAAGTTAGAAGAATATATAAATGTATAATATTCTTTTGTTTCAATTTCTGGGATGCGGAGTTATCAATATTTACAATATTTTATTATTTGGTCGAACTAGCTCGGACATTAACGAGGCTATAACGCCAACCATCACGGTCCTGCATCACGGTCGGAAGGTCATTAGGGTGTCATTCCATGTTATAACAAATTTGGCCAATGTAGATAATTGCTGGGCGACAAGTCTGTCATGCGCCATGGTGAGGTGTCCAGAGCAGTAGATCGTTTGTAATTTTTGTTTTTTGCTTTTTTTGCTTTGTTTTTGTTTGTTTTGCTCGCCAGCAGTATCACGCAACTAGCATTGTGCGTTCGCAGAAGATTGTACAAAAATCAGGAAGGGATCTATAGAGCTCTGATTTAGTTGGATGTCGTCTCCAAGAGATGTTAAATATAGCTCTCAGCATCTGAGTGGAGATTCTATCAAGCTTAGACTCTAGGATTTTACTTACTGTGCAAAGAAATAGCACCATATATTAACCCTACTTCTTCAGTGGCACGAAAAATTCTCCGTATGAGTTTGTCCGTAAGAACAGATTCCCAGATTACACCTATTATATTCAAGTCAACTGAGGCCTTGGATATCAAATGTTCCCACCCTTTTCAGTAGAATTTATTCCACGTCTCAGAACTCTCAAAAATATTCTTAAGGCTGTGAACGAAATTCAATGTTAATTAAATCCTTGAACCATCTTATATACATACATATATACATACATACATATCCGATGCGATGAAAACGAAAGTAATATATAAATTCTGACGTTCACAGCATTAATCCA